AGTTATTCCCGAATGTGGGAACACCTGGAAGCCAAGGGTTTTTTTTGTGACACATAAAACAAGTTGATGCATGTCTTGGATTTTTTTTTTTTTTTCAGATCCTCTCTATGAAGTTGCTTTGTGAGTGTAATTTCCTACCTGGCACATTAAGCACGTTGTACTGGTGTCTGCTCCTGCAAAGCCTCTTGGCTCAGTGAAAACACAAAGATTTCTTTGCCTTGCGGGGGAGGATCTGAACATTTGGCAGTTTAGTTAGCAGCACGAGGACATTAATACTTGAGCACAGGAGATAGCCAGACTCTTTAATGTGGTGGAAAAACAGAAGGATACTCTGGGTCCTTTGCTCTGCCTATCCCATGCCATGGGAAAACTGTTCTGTTTAGGAAATTCCCACCATTATTTAACAAAGCAAAGGACAGGAATTCTCATATCTTCCCTAGAGATAAGTTCCCTCTCTACATGCCTTTCTCCATAAGAAACATGTCTCAGTGCTTGCCCAGGTATTACTTTGTGCAGTTCCTATTTGCTTATGATTATACGAACACGTCTTCTGCCTGGTCCTCATCTCAACCTTCTAACCCTTCATACTGCTTTCCTAGTCAGAGGCACACCCTAGCCATCTGTAGCCATTTTTCCCAGTTGCTCCTGGTAATTACTTTCCAAAGGCTAGAGTGTCTGCTGGTAAGTTTAGAATATAACATGATAATGCCATGAGAACTTATGGTACCAGGGTTAACTGTTCAGTGCTTCTTTTTGTGTAATTCTTTTAACATCATTTTCTAGTGTCTTTCAGAGCCTCACAGGGCCTCTCTAGACTAATATGAATTTTGCTATTCCACATATTGTGTGGTAGATCTTGTCTCCAACTAACATGTAAATTAAGTGCTGTCTGCTTTAGTCGTCCCACTCACTCGTGTCTGTCCTGTCCCAGCCACAGCACTGCAGGTGTCACGGCGCTGGAGGCTGAGGTGAAAGTCCCTATTAAATGTCTTCACAAGGAGACATGTTCTAATGCTGAAACATCCAATGACACTTTCACCGTGAAAGACAGGAAGAGTCCTGAGTATGAGAACCTTGTGACTGCAATGGAATCAGAACATGAAACAGAGGGAATTTAGCAGAGTACCAGCTCTTCTGCATGAGCAGCAATGCAGGACTGCACATACCAAATGGTGCACTTAACAGGAGCAGACCCTTCCTCCTGTTGGTCTTCTGCTCTGATAAATGTTTCACTGCTTGCTTAAACCCAGAGGAGCTGCATAATCTTCTTGGGCTTTGGCAAACAAGGCCTTGCCCGCTGGAGCAAAAACCCTCAGCTGAGCATTTGTCTATCCACTTCTACAGAGTGAGTAATTTCTGAGCAGCCTGAATGACTAAGGTCAGGAAGAGAGGATCTGAGGGACTTGGAACGTGAACGTCTTTAGTCTGCAAATCCAGGAGTAGCTGGGTGCAATGCTACCAGCCAGTAACAGCAGCAAGGGGTACTTTTCAGTGCATGTTCCTGTTAGGACATCCCAGGCTGCAAAGAACCAGGGATTGTGCTGGAAATGGACGTCCTCTGGCTTTTGCAGTACAGCAAATACTGGTTTGCACATCCTGCTTGTCCCTGAGTCTTTTTTTGTTAGAGCATAATAAAGGGACCACAGATGGGAGGTTGATGTCCCAGGAATGTCAGTTTTGCTATCAGACTGGAGCTCAGCACACAGAGGGAGAGGGAATGAGTCTCCAAACTGCCACCACTGGTTTTCTCCTGGAAAACCAGAACTGATGTTGAAGGAAATGGTGGCATTTAGTTTTTACAGTGTGGGGGCCAGAGGCGTAACAAAATAGAGAGAAATTTGAAGCATTTGAATAATGATTAAGGGACCTCTCTGGATTTAACAGACTGACACTGATTTACTCTGTGGGACACAAGTCAATCTGTGTGATTATTAATTCTGACCTACGTTACAGGGATGCTGTGGGTGCTCATGATTGTAAAATGCTGCTCCTGCCTTCAACTGCAGCACGTTCCCTATGATACACTGTCACTTGGCAGCCTGGTTTGCCTCTTCATTGTTAATCATTTGTACCTTGCCTGTGCTGAGATGCTGCTGGCAGAAGTCTGTCCTCCCTATCTGTCCCTCCAGCCAGCATCCTTCTGTTCTCCAGGCTTGTCAGGGAGGGGCGATGCCACCTGTCCTTAACAAAGCAAATGTGTAAGAAGAGTTACTGGCTTTTATTAAACCAGTGGGTGCAGCAGGGGGAGCATGGGGAAGCAGCTGAGCTCAGGTCATGCACACCCTCCTGCTTGTTCGTGTGAGGCTGCTGCACTCCCATGAGGCAGGCAGGATCCAGCCTGTCCCTGTGGGGCCACAGCAGTGCCAGGCCCCCTGCATGCACTGGTGCCTTAGCTCACATGTGGGTGCTGCTCTCTCAGACCCACCAGCTCCCCTGCCCCAGCTGGAGAGGAGAGCTGGAGCCCTGAGCGAGGGTAAGCAGTGTGGGGACTGTTTGGAATGCGTGTGGGTCTCTGATGCTTTGCTCCCGGGCTGAGGGAAGTCACCCCTCGCAGGGTGTGTTTGCTGTAGCCTCGTGCACACCCCCACAAGCAGGCCCCAGAGACCCCGCGCTGGAGAAGCTGCTGGCATCAGCATTCAGGGCTGGTGTGGAACAGAGGAACGAGGGGGATGGGAAGCTGCAGCCACACTCATGCAGGGCAGAAGCATGTGGTGCAAAGTCAACACTGTGTGGAAAGGGAACTGAAAACTTCCCAGCTTCCCCATCCTCACCTCAGCGTATCCAGGCCCAAAACACGATATGGCGCTCTCTTTCCCCCCAACAAGTGCCATCCTCATTAATTTTCAATTAACCTAGTGTTTTGTGCAAATTTTCTTGCTGTTATAAACTCTGAGCTCCAGGTTCGCTCATTGACTATGTAACACCATGGTTTTTCCCACTTGTCATTCCTCTCAGCACTGATCTGCCCTGAGGGGGTCTGGACACCTTCCTCAGAAGACCCAAAACCTGAGAGAAGCTGCAGAGAAAGAAGGCAACAGGAGTTAAGAAAGGGGGAGCAGATGCTCCAGTTGGAGCAGCCCCCATGTTGTCACTGCCTCCAGTTTGGGCAGCAAAAAGGCTTTGGTCACAAGCAGCAGAACAGTGGAAATACAAAAAGTCTGTCTCTGGTGCCAAGGTGGTTGTTTTTCCCTGTGCAGCAAGCGTGTGATTATTTTTTAATTTATAGTTTTTGCATGTTTGGTAGTAAAACCTGTTAGAAACAGAGCATTTTTCTTCTGGAAGTCACAGAGGATTTTGCTATGTTGCATCACCATCGAACCATAGAACTTCTCCTTTCCTTGCACTGGTCACTCACCCAGTGATGGGACTCATCTGCTGAGTCCCAGCTCTACTCCAGCACAGAAGGAAAACCTCAGTTTCTGCTCTGAAACAACACTGCCTCCAAAGAACACACTATCTTGAGTGGCTGGCGCAGTGTCACAAGAATTACAGTTCCCCTTGCCTCAGAGCAACTGCAGTGCCCATCCCATGGAGGCTTTTACACCTGCTGGGTTTGCCCCCTACTTCAGAGCAGGGACATGGGACATGAATTCCCAGAGAAATTTATCCCACTCTAATTTGTTCTTGTAAGAGAGAAAAAGGTTAACTTTTTTCCCCTTCCCCCCAGCCATCTAGAAGGAACCAGGGGGTGGAGGGGAGAGTTATCCAAAAAGCAGAGGGACAAATTCTGCTGAAAGCAAAAGCTGGAAATGCACAAGAAAACAAAAATGAAGGGCATAAACAAACACTTGGCCAGCTGTGGTGCAGAGGAGGTTAGGTCTGTTGAAACCTTGAGATCTGGGTGACAGCAGGGTTGGGGCTGACAGAGTTGTCTGCTACATTAAGGATCCACAAAGCAAAGCCTGAAATCATAGACCTTGTTCTCTTTTGAAGCTGACCTCAGTGATAAAGATCAGGGTGATATCTGTGAGTCATGAGTAGAGTAGGTGCTGGAGAAAGACCATGGGAGTGTGAGTCATAAGGAGTAGGACTGTCTTTGTCCAGAAGTGCACGAGCTATTCAAAAAGCAAAACACTATTTGCTTAGGCAATGATACAAATTCATGGGTCCCAGCTTCATATGAGCTCCAGCTTCTTCAAAATATTTACTAAGAAATACTTGCAACAAAAAGCCCAAAAAGCTTAGTATTCAAGTTTATTAACATTCTCAAATATTGCAAATTTTGCTGGCGGTACTGTCCTAAAACAAGTCAGTAGGGTCTTGGGAATTTTTATTCATTTCTGAGTTTTCCATGTCAAATGCTTTCAGAGAGTTTGATTTGTCAAACTGGGCTGGACACTGCCCCCACTCTGACATATCTGAAGCTGCAGATCTGATATGCCACAAGCCAGTCATTAAAAACACTTACCAATTGTGACATCTTCAAGTGGGATGATTTAGAGGGAATTACTTTCATTAAATAGCAGAAACAGGCAACCTTGCTGCAAGGGCTGACTAGGAATGACCATCCAAAGACAAGGAGTCTTCTCCAAACAGCAAGGCTGCAGGGAGAAGCAATGGACTTTATGGTCCAATTTTAAACAGATTGAGCAAACATGCATTTTTCACTGGCTGATGGGCCAGAGATAAGTTAATCAGCAGCCTCATTAGTTTGTACTCTGAATGAAAAAAGATTCCTACATGTGCAAAGAAAAGATTTTGTATTATGGGTAATACTGCCTGTACCCATGATGTTGTGATTATGCTTGCCAGAATCCTTGTTAACTGAGCAGGATGATTAATTAGCAGCTGGCTAGTTAATGCTGTGTAGAAGAGCAGAGCACTGTCTTTGGAAGCAAAGAGCAAGGACCCTGGGCCCAATTCTCTGCCTTCACAGTGCAGAGAAGCTGCACCACCACCACTTCTGCACAGATGTACTGTTGGGAGGGATACCCCGGTAGACACTTCCAAAATTGGGGTTGAAGGGAAACGTGGCAGCACAGGTGTTCTGTAATAGTGGGACGGGCTGTTCAGTACCTCGGTGTGTTTCTGGAGAGGTGCAGAGCCTGGAGAGGAGGACTCATGCCAGAGCAGGAGGAAGAGGCTGGACCCTTGGCTGCACCGTGTTGCTCAGCAATGCCTCACTTGGGGTATTTGACAAACTGACACTCTGCACACTGAGTGTCGGACTCAGCTTGTCAAATACACGCAGTGCCACACTGCAGCTCCCAGGGGGTCACAGTGTCTTCGCTGGATGCCAAACTGGGGGCACAGAGAGAGAAAAGAAGCACAAGAAGAGCTGATGTTAATTTCAGAGGCTTTTTCCAGTTAGCAAAAAACATCATTGACCCTCCCATATTTCCCCCTCCTATACTCTTCTTTTAGTGAGAGAGAACCACATCAGCAGACACTGCCTTCTGCTGAGGAAAGGGAAAGGTTTTTTTCATGTGGAAGCACAAAATAAAAAACAGTAATGTCCAACACATACTCTCCAAACCCAGAAGAGAGTGGAATAAGGTTTAAGAGCAAGGTCGCAACTACAGCTTTAAAGATAAAATCAGTTTCTTTGCAATTCTTGCATTCCCCCTGGCTCCACCTTCACCTTGGGCGGGATGTAGATAGTGACCAGTTCTTTGTTCTGGCTCCTCCTTCCAAATGGAATTCAGCCATGATAGATAAAAGTATATTGCAATGGATAAAAGGGGCATGTGTATTTCATGAACATAAGAAAACAGTGTTAATAAGCTGATTTAAGATCAGCCTACCAGAGTACAAGTGACCTTGTCATCCCCAAAAGGACCCTCAGCCATACCCAAGTGTGGGGAGGCCACCCAAGAAAGACTGAGCAGGCTCTTCAGCAGGTATCAGTGACCAGACTACCCTCAGCTTCAGTGCTGATGTCTAACAGGGGCAGAGCTGGCCTTGGAGGGGGAAGAAGAAAAGAAGACAGCACTGCTCCTGCAATTGCAGCTTAAAATAATCCCCCGTGTAGCTTTCTGAAGGGAAAACCAGCCACTTGAAATGTTGCTATGAGGGACAGATAAGGGGAGGGTACACAGCGGAGATAATTCTGTCAGCAGATGGGAATGGAACTTGCTATTCTACCCGTAGAGATCATATCTAATCTGAATCAGTTTGTCATTGTAGAGGTTCTGGTTTCAAGCTGAAGTGGGTATTTCCAAGTAAAAGCTCAGAGTTATAAAACTGAACAATCTACAGTATACTCTAGGGGAAAACAGAAAGAGTTTTTCTTCCTGCATTCTTCAGTCAGTCTCTTACCAAAGTTAGAAAAAGTCCCCTCCAGGCTGCACATTTTCACGCAGGGCTGTCAGACTGCTCTGCAACTTGTGATGAAAATAAATGAAAAGTAAAATTATTGGATAGATTCGATGCTAAACCTAGTAACAGCATGCATCAAAGTGTGGCTGGGTGGTTTTCACATACTGAGTAGCAGAGCCCCAGCATGCAGGCTGAAGCCATTTCAAGGCATGCGTTTATTATACAGGATTTGAACTGGAATCAAGGTTATCTCCATTTTCCACCCAGTGAAACCCAAATCACAGCCTGAATTGAAAGCAAGAATACCCTGTGGGCAACAGGGTCTGCTGAACCCCT